CTGACGGGTCAGGCGTTGAGCTTCTAGTGAAGACTCTGGGTGGTTCCTGGGGTCTGTCGCAAGCCGAGACCAAGTATGACACCTTTGAGAAAGCCTTGTACAGCACGCAGCAGAAGGCTGATGAATCAAACGATTCATATCTTGCCCGTCATGACGTGCATTTTGAGGAACTCAAGGCGCAGCAGACAACGTTTGAAGAGATCAGAGCGTACGTCCTGTTACGGCAGTCTGGGCTGTCAGCAGAGGATCGCAAAAAGATCGTCATCGAGTGTGGAGGTACACTCGACTACACCAGAATCTGCCAGGCAGTTCGGCTCCTTGGATCCCGAGTCTTTGGGGATCTGCAAGGTCCAAAGTCAGGTCATAGATCCAAGGTCTACGATGCCAATCATGTCGATGACCATGAGGAGATCGAAAAGGAACCGAACATGGCAGCAATGATGGCCTCTTCTTATGAAGAGCCCGAGCCAGAGCTGGACAATGACTTCATTGAGGCCATGGTGGCCGTCTCAGACGCTGATGCTCTCCAGGTTCAAGGCTTCGAAGATGAGCTAGAGAATTTCTTTCAGGAAACTCCAGAGCTTCAGGAAGCACTTGTGAGCTACCTGGAGGCCCGTTCAAGGCTCTTGGCCAAGAAGAGGAACCGTGGTTTTTGGCCGTCTACAAGCTCAAGCTCCTCATTCGGCAAGGGTGGCAAGGGTCGCTTCCCTAAAGGCAAAGGCAAGGGACGTGGCTCCAAGGATGGCCGCGAACAACTTCTTGCGCGTATCGCAAGGAGTACCTGCAAGGCCTGCGGAGAGCGTGGTCATTGGAAGGCCGAATGTCCGAAATTCGGTAAGCCAGGGTCCATGAGTCATAGTGGCAACGCGAAGGGCGAGGCCACGACCACCGTAGCCGAGGAGATTGATCAGGAGATCCTGGCCACCAAGGCCGAGGCAGCGAACGAAGAGGTGCTGGAAATGCTTCCCGCGGAATCCCTTAGTCTCGCCGAGGCCTGCTTTGCCCATGCAACGGAAGTCCGCATTCGCCAGGGGTTAAGAAACCTTGCATCATGGAAGAACTTTAATAGGCGGCCCGAAGGTAGAGGAATGAACCCAGGGTTTCCCCATAACCCCCCTACATCCCAACACAGGCCGAGCCAGACTTGGCAGCCACATTGGTCGAGTGAGGGACCTCAACGGTTCCAGACACGCCCGTGTGAACATGGCCCTGACTGTGAAGCCTTATCTGCAAGCCAACCCCTTGATAAGGTTTCTGCCATTTTAGATACGGGGGCTAGTCGATGTGTTATGGGGAATAGCCTTCTTAAGTCCTTTCTGCAGCAGTTGTCCCGTGAGGCTCGGGAGAAGGTGCGCGTGACTCAGAGCAAGGTCAGATTCCGATTTGGTAGTGGCCATACACTAGACAGCCAGAAGCGCATTCTTCTTCCTCTCTCACCTCCAACGGGTCCTGTAATGTGGTTAGGCATTGAGGTAGTCCCTGGTAGCACTCCCCTGCTTTTCTCCAAACGAGCCATCAAACAGCTTGGTGGTATCATAGATACGGTGCAGGACGTGTGCCGCCTGAACAGGTTGGAGCAAAACCTGTCTCTTGACACGAGTCCTTCAGGACTTTACCTGATCGACCTTGCCCGTCTGTGCAGTGACGGCCTGAAAAAAAAAGGACTGCCAGCCTTGAATGCAACTCAGTTCAATGTACAGCACCTGGTGGGGTATGCACATCGAATCCTGATTTGGGGTCGGATATGGTAAGCAACCCCCTTAATTCACAGACTGCTGATAATAACATCAGCCTAGATAATGTTCCCGCCCTGGGTCCTGAGATCCCAGGCGAAACCAGTAAGGCCACAAACATGTTCCATCAAGAAGTCTCACATGTGAGCGCCCCAGCTCTCAAGCCTTCAATCCTGGATAGTTCCCACCTTGCTTCAAGCTCTCGTCATCATGGCCCCGAAGTCCACAGAGGCTCCGACTCTGGGCCAAAGGTTTGCTCGTTTGCAGACCGTGCCCGAGGGCTTCACTTTCGAGGAGCTCCAGCACCTGAGCACGTCCGAGCTGGGGAAATTCAAGGTGGACTTTGGCAAGCACGCGGGTATCACTTTCGAAGAGGCCGTGAACACCGAGCCTGGCTGGACCAAGTGGATGATCGATCACATGTCAACCTCCAACAAGCTGTCCCACAAAAGCTTTCTCCTGTACGTCGACCGTTTCGTCCAGGAGGGCGAGGCCATGGAAAAATACCTTCTGGAGTCCCAGCCAGAGACTCCCGAGGCTCAGATGATCAAGAAGAAGCTGGACCCTGCCAAGGACCTCTTGAAGCCCCCAGCCTCCGAGAACGGTCCCGTGCCCAACATGTCATCAGGAACCAGTTCCGGCGCGACAGCCACCGGTTCCAACGTCAACGATGGCACTGTGATCAATGCCCGCGTGGACGAGCTCTCAAGCCGCATGTCGAACATCGAGGTGGTGCTCAATCAGATTGTGCAAGCCATGCAAGAGTTGAATCTCCAAGCCGGGCAGCAGTAGATCCAAGTAAGCTTACACAGCTTCACCAGTCATCGCAGGAAGTACTTTCCCAACTTCAAGCTTTGGTCAATGATCAGCTTAGCTTTGTAGCTCCCCTAGATGTCCCTGACCCGAAAAATGGACCGGCGATCGAGAATGACCCGAGCATAGATGCCAATCCTGTGCCTCTCACAAGCACCCCCGTAACACCAAGCAGTTTCTATCCATCCTCCCTGCGTCATTTTCTTGATGTTGAAGCCCAAAATGCTTCTTCGGGAGTGTCCTGTGAAAGACTGAAAGCTGCTGGAGCTTCAGTGGAGACCTCCTTTCAGTGTGCTGAGGAAGCTGCCTGGCAGGCATTCGAAGACTCTCAGCTTACATATGGTCGACCCCTCAGGGAACAACTGGATCTTCTTGAGATCTATGCTGAGCCAGACAGCCGCCTCTCAACGGCAGTGAGGGATGCAGGTGGTAAGGCTTGCCGATTCACTTATCAAGACGGTAATCTGTCCACCATAGCAGGACAACGTAAATTGTATGACCTCCTACAAAAGACACAACCTCGTCACATTGTGATGGCTCCCGAGTGCAAGCTTTGGGGTTCCTGGTCACGGTTTAATGCTAGTAGGGGAGTAGAAGCTCTTGAAAGGCATCTCGCTGCCCGTAGTCGGGATGAGACTCATCTCCGGCTATGTGTCCGCATTTGTCAATGGCAGGTCCGTCAGAAACGGCACTTCCATCTTGAGCAGCCACAGCAATCCCAGATGTTGCAGTCCAAAATCCTAGAGCCCATTCTCCGCGTAACCTCCCGGATAGTTTTGGACATGTGTGCGTTTGGCCTCAAAACCCCAGTTACTCAACGACCTATTCGTAAGACTACTGTCCTGCTATCTACGAGCCCCCGATTTATAGAGGTTCTTAGCCAATATCGGTGTCCCAAAAACCATAAGCATCAGCAGATAGCAGGCAGTATTCGCGATAAAGATGGTCGATGGATTGCTGTCTCAAGGTATGCCAGTGCGTATTGCCACGGATTTGCGCAAAGTCTGGCGCAGTTGATCTTGGAGGAATGGGTACAAGTAGCCAGGGCTGTTCCCATAAACCCCCCTGCATTCCGTAAGCGGCACAAGGGTCCCTCAGGTGATGCAATTCCTAAGACCTCTGCCCCTAAGAACCTACCATTCAAAAGATCAACTGAGCCATCAGCAGCAGGTGATCAGCGTGGTCAGCCGGAAGCCCGCAGAGCCTTTCCCAGCATGACAACATCCCCAAAAGAGTTGACCTCCCCAGAGTGGTCCAAAGTCTTTGAGTTAGCGCAAAATTGCACTCCCACACGAGGAACCAACCTAGTAGACCCAAATGATCCACTGTATCAGGAATTGTGTAGCTGCCTCTCTGAGTTTAAGGTCTTACAAGTGTTCCTTAAGTTCAACTGTAAGACCCTATGCTCCCCAGTTGGCGCTCTGCCTAGCACGGTGGCCCCGTATCGAGTCAGCCTGTCTTTGCAGCCTGGTCCCCGAATGATGTGTCTCGGCCGTGAAAAGCGTGCAGAAATGATTCCGGCTAGATGTCATGCC